TGTGCAAATATTTAATTACACTGCAAAGCTCTAATAAGCCTTTGGATATTATAGTTTAACGTGTCACAGCACTATAAGTAACTGAACAATGAAACCGCAACTGTTGACACTATCCTCCTCATCGTGTCTCAAGCAACACTGTTACTTTGTTGTTCAGGGCTACACTCTTCATTATGTCACTGCGCACTAAAAGTGCGCAGTGTTAAAACCCCAAAGTATGACGTCTACGCGTAAAACAGTTGGATATAATTTTATGATCACTTATTATTTTTTTATAATTATATACATGTAAACTTCACTACTCAAAAGAAGTAATTAGATCCGACCGTATTTATCGTCCACCTGGCAGTGAAGTAGTGTAGCATATATGGACATGTGTTAATTATCATTTCTTTCTTTCTTTTTATCCTTCACCTCGGATCGGCTCGTTAGCCGCTTGGGCGATCGGTCACGTCTCATTACTTTTCCTTTTCTATTATCCTCTTCACCAAATGATGGGCTCGTTGGGTGGGCGATCGGTCACGTCTCTGTTACGCACTGTTGGCAAGTACTGGGCATGTACCGACTTCTGAGCGTACCTGAACCTTGTTACAGTGTTGGTCAAGTCTTGTCTTGAAAGAGCTCACACTACTCACAATACTACTGTTTCAAGACACAAATTGAAAATACAGTATATTGATATAATTAATAAATACAGTAATCGGAAAATGCAGTGAAGGAGTACTAGGAGGTAAGAACCCATAAATTCCAAAATGCGTTCCACAGACATTACCACAATGGAGAGCCTGCTTCGCATATCGCTACAAAACTAATTATCATTGATAGCATTACTCTTTCTAAAACATACTATTTATTTCATTCTTAGAAATGCATAATTTTAAGAATACTGTAGTTATTTTTCCTACCTCTGAAAACAGAAGTAACCTATTTGATGTGTCACCTTGAGTTGTTGTAAAAGTATACTGTTTAAGTTGTCATATACGTTTTCATATTTTTAACCGTTTCATTTTTTACGCGCATTGCTGTTTTATAATATGAAGACTACCACACCATGCCTTAGAGTTGTCTTGGACCTTCTGTTGGCGGCATCTGCAGTAGATTGATACGTTTATTGAGGTCTACAAAAAAACATTAATACATCTCAAAGGGATGAAGTGACATAAGTCATCCCCACCCCAGTCCAGGAATGTCCCTCTCAGGACTCACATAAATCCCTAATATTTCATATGAGCATCAGTTATAGGTATAGTTATATTCTAGATGGAAAAATTTCTATATTTCTTTAATATTCATCTATTTCCTATTTTAAACATCCACTCTCTTTGTAGAGGACATTACAGTATTTATATGGGCATTTCTATATACATTAAAAGCTTAATGGACATTCCAGTATATAATGTGGCAAGGGTATGGGATCTGGATGTTCTACAAACTCTACATTCTTTATCCTGTTCCTTCTCTCGAAAGCTCAAGTTCCCAATAATATTTATATCTAATCTTAACCTCATATACATGAATCTTTCCACCTAATCCTATCTTTTTCCCATATGTAAATTTTGTGTTCATGAGAACATGATGAGTAATGTTTCATTGTTTCACTTTTCTCGTATATTTCATTCCTTTTGAAATTATCTTCCTATTGATTATGTTGTTACCCGTAATTTTGCTCCTTAATTGCTTCAGGTTTTTGCACATAATATGTCGATCTCAAGCACTTTTCAAAGTAGCTATTTTTTGCTATTATATCTACTGCTTCATTTAAGACCCAATCCCCCCACATGTGATGGGACCCAGCCTAGAATTGAACATTAGGGCCATTTTTTCCTTATTGTATTTGCTAATTTTCTACATAACCAGACAATAATGTGTTCAAGGAGCTAGACTCCACTGTTCAAAAGAATCAAAAGCTGCCTACTATCAACAAAAAAAAATATGCATCTTTTATACCTCTTTACAGCATTTTCCAATCCTACTAACATTGCATATAACTCGAAAGCTTGTGTTGATGAAATAAAACTGCTCAACCGAAGTCCAATTTTGATGTCATCATTTCCTTGTTCTGTGTACTGTCTTATAAGGATCCCGCACCCTGCCCTACCACTTGACATAACTGAACCGTCACAATATACATGCAATGTGTTTATTTTAGGCAAATTACTAATCTTATTCCCATATAAAGACCTTAACTGTCCTGGTTCATGTAATGATTTCTTCATTGTGAGAGGCACTATGTCTAACTCTACTTCTCGTTCTTCCCAGGGTGGATTCTTACAACTCTTCTGAACAGCTGTACACCAGTCTGCCAGATTACATTTTTTAATAATATTTACTAATCCATTCATGTATCCTCTCTTGCCTTGCCTGCAGAAGGTCCTTTGATCTTTTAAACCATCATTTATATCTTGTACAAATTTACCCCCACTGTTCCCTCTCATTAATCGAACTGCTGCAACTGTATTAATTTCATTGACCCTCTGTGAAATGCTCTGTAACCCTAGTTCCATTTTCATTATCTCAATCATTGCATTCTTTTGACACCCTAAAATTATTCTCATTGCTTCATTTTGCATGATCTCAAGCTTCCGTAGCCTTCCTTCACCAGTACAAGAGAGGACAGGTGCTGCATAGTCTATAAGTGATCTGATGGTAGAAATATAAATCATTCTCAGTATGGGTACCCCAGCACCTTTACCACAACATGCTAGAGCCTTCAAGGGCTGTAATCTTGCTGTACATTGAGTGAGGACATGATATATTTCTGCCTCTTTACTTTCACTAGTAAAGCCAATATACATTCCTAAATATTTATACTTTGACACTTTCTCAACAATTTTTCCATTTAGAAAAACGGATTCAGTTCCTCTTCCTTTACATTCACACTTGGTTTTTTCTTCATTGATAACTAAGCCCATCTTTTGAGAAAGAACACTAAAATTATTTAATGCAATCTGCAAATTTTTTACAGAGTTTCCTTGAAATAAGATGTCATCTGCATAAATGATGGTTACAACTCCTTTAGGATATTTGTGTGAGGCTATCTTGTTCATTAACACATTAAATAACATTGGACTCAATACTCCCCCTTGGGGAATGCCTAGTTCAAGTGCTCTTTCCTCAGACAAACATCCCTGATACCATACACAGATTCTCCTTCCATGCAAGTAGTCACCTATCCAGTGTAACAACTTTCCTGATACCCCTAGAGCAGCCAGTTCATTCATAACTACTTCACTGTGAGCTATATCAAATGCTCCTTGTAAATCCACAAAAACTCTACATCTGTCTGCATCATTTGATAAACATTTTATCACACAGTCTGAAGTACATTTCCCTTCCAAAAAAAACAAATAAATTACAAGATAGATTTTCCCCCACAATATATACAAGCCTATTTAATAATACTCTCTGCATCATCTTGGAAAAACAAGATGTTTAAGACACTGGCCTGTATCCAAATCTAATAATGGACTATTTTCCATACCAACTAAGCAGTTCAAAATTTCATAAGTCACACCATCTTCGCCTGGTGCTGTAGATTTTCCTTTTTAACAGCATTTAATAACTCATCTTGAGTAATATCTACACATGTTACATCACAAATATTTAGAGCTGATGAAATAAATCTTCTTCTTTCATTTTGCCACTCATCTAATGCTTCTATTGTCCTGTTAGGCAGGGAGGCAACACTAGCTGCTTTAGCCCATTTGTCAACCAGTTTATTAGCTTCTTCCTCTGGATGAGGATGGCTAATAAAATTACTCCTTTTTCCTCTAATTTTGTTAATATCCTGCCATATTTCTTTGAGATTTTTACTCTCCCCAATGTGCTGTGCAAAGTCTTGCCAATATTTCTCCCTTGCCTCCTTCCTAGCCTGCCCACATATTTTGGCTATATCCATGAAGATTTCCCTATCTTCTCTTCTACCATTCTTTACCCAATCTTTATGTGCTGCCCTTAACATTTGTGTCCATCCCTTCAACATTTTGTCATTGGTATAGCAGTGTTTCCTAG